ATCCTTTATGTGGGTCTCAGTGAAAGCCGCGAACATTGCCTTTGCCTCTGCAAGCAGTCCACGGATGAAAGGTATTTTGTTGTTTGTTGCTGGCTTTAGACCCTGTATATTTGCAAAGAAGAATGTCATCGGACTGGTGGTATTGTTGGTACTGGGTTTTTTTTTTTCCGGCATTAGTATCTGTATCTGTTGGTTTGGAGTGGAGGCCATCGACTGTGGTTCCACTTCAGGAATGACTGGATTTGGTGTACGATTTCTGCCATTTCCTGCCAGTTTTTTTTCCTTCCTGGCACTAAAAAACCTCTCCCTCTTGAGTGGCTGTGGCTACCCAGGTTTTCCCATGGCCTGGATGTTTTGTATCTTTTTGTCCCCTTTAAATGGTGTGCCTGGCAATTTAAGTTATAGCACAGTCTTTCCTGTACTGAAGAGGTACACATTTCAGGGTGAAAAAGCTTACAGGAAGGGAGTTTGCATTTTCCTGTTGTCATATGGGCAGGGCATTTTCTAGGGGGTCATAGTTGCACATCCCGTCTGTTTTTTCAGATTTCCCATGTCTGCAGTTACCAAGTGCATAGTATGTGCACAGGCTTGGTTTCCGTTTGCCTTGGGTTTCTGTGACTGTATTCCCTGTTGGTGCATGTTTACCTGTCTTATTCCTATCCTCCCTAGCACCAACAATGGAGCTCCCACCAGTTGTTTTTGGTAATATATCCTCACTATTGCTAGTGGAGTCCTCTTGTTTGCTATTTCCTGTGGTATTTCTAGTTTGCAATATTGGTTTTATCTTATCTTTGACTACACTTGTTTCCCCACTACGGCTCCTGTCCCCTATGAGGTCATTTATATGTATTCCTTCCTGCGTATAATTCCCGACTACCTGGACAAAATCTCCAGCTTCACCATTACTGTCTCGGACAGCACCTCCAGCTTCACCATTACTGTCTCCCAGGACAGCACCTCCAGCTTCACCATTACTGTCTCCCAGGACAGCACCTCCAGCTTCACCATTACTGTCTCCCAGGACAGCACCTCCAGCTTCACCATTACTGTCTCCCAGGACAGCACCTCCAGCTTCACCATTACTGTCTCCCAGGACAGCGCCTCCAGCTTCACCATTACTGTCTCCCAGGACAGCACCTCCAGCTTCACCATTTACTGTCTCCCAGGACAGCACCTCCAGCTTCACCATTTACTGTCTCCCCAGGACAGCACCTCCAGCTTCCACCATTACTGTCTCCCCAGGACAGCACCTCCAGCTTCACCATTACTGTCTCCCAGGACAGCACCTCCAGCTTCACACCATTACTGTCTCCCAGGACAGCACCTCCAGCTTCACCATTACTGTCTCCCAGGACAGCACCTCCAGCTTCACCATTACTGTCTCCCAGGACAGCGCCTCCAGCTTCACCATTACTGTCTCCTAGGACAGCACCTCCAGCTTCACCATTACTGTCTCCCAGGACAGTGCCTCCAGCTTCACCATTACTGTCTTCCAGGACAGCACCTCCAGCTTCACCATTACTGCCTCTCAGGACAGCGCCTCCAGCTTCACCATTACTGTCTCCCAGGACAGCACCTCCAGCTTCACCATTACTGTCTCCCAGGACAGCACCTCCAGCTTCACCATTACTGTCTCCCAGGACAGCACCTCCAGCTTCACCATTACTGTCTCCCAGGACAGCACCTCCAGCTTCACCATTACTGTCTCCCAGGACAGCGCCTCCAGCTTCACCATTACTGTCTCCCAGGACAGCACCTCCAGCTTCACCATTACTGTCTCCCAGGACAGCACCTCCAGCTTCACCATTACTGTCTCCCAGGACAGCACCTCCAGCTTCACCATTACTGTCTCCCAGGACAGCACCTCCAGCTTCACCATTACTGTCTCCCAGACAGCACTATCAGCCCCACATTTACTGACTACCAGACTTCACCTCCAGCCTTACAGTTTTCTGACTACATGGCCAGTATCAAGGGCAGTACCATTCAGCCCAGACTTTTTATGTTCCCATCTGTTGTAGAAAGCTTCCAGGTTGTCTATGAAAGCAGCTTTGATGTTATCCTCTTTTAATACCCTTGTGATTTTAGTCCACAGATTTTCCTCATTTGGGCATACCCAAAAACACTTCCCTGTTTTAATACTGCTTGTAGCTAGTTCTTGGATATCTGCACAAGGGGCATGACACCAATTTCCACAAAAATGACAATTTATCCATGTGGAAGCCCATTTGTTTGATTGACTGTAGACTACACAGAGCTTCATAATGATTTGAATGGTTGATTTACTGTAATTCTACTAGCAACCTCTTGAATACTCTATTAATAACCTCCTTATATGAAGCTCTAGCTATATGTATTGCTATTTCTAACTGTACTTGTATATTGGACAGCTTACCATGTACGTTCCTGATTTATATTTATTGTTTGTGTTTGATAAGGGCGCCTACAACCCCATCCGTTTACAGTCTGCTTTATTGTCCAACAAATCCGTGAAACACTATAAAGCGGGGCCTGCCTGTACCAGAAACAGCACTGGCCCTAGGACTGACCCTTGTGAAACCCTGCTCGTCACATGCGCCCATTCTGACAGCTCGTCACGTACCATCACTTGTTTCCTTCCTGTTAGGTATTGCCCGATTCACTGCAGGGATGAATAGAGTGAATTTTCTTGGACTGTAAGAAGGTTTTTGTCACAGTTCCACACAAGAGATTAGTGCAAAAGCTAGAGGAGCAAGCAGGGATAATAGAAAAGGCACTGCAGTTGATCAGGGAATACCTGACAGGATGAAAATGCGTAATGCTACTTGACGAGGTGTCAGAGTGGGCACATGTGACGTGCGGTATTCCGCAAGTCAGTTCTAGCGCCAGTGCTGCTTCTGGTATACGTATATGAATGACATGATGGAAGGGATAGATTCAGAGGTGTTCCTGTTTGCAAATGATGTGAAGCTAATGCAGAGAATTCAAGCAGATGAGGATCAGGAAGGACTACAAAGAGAGCTGGACAGGCTGCAAGCCCAGTCCAACAACTGACTCCTGGAGTTTAACCTCACCAAGTGCAAAGTCATTAAAATTGGGGCGGTTTGCGGCCTAAGGCTGCAAACTCACTCAAGGAAAAGGATCTTGGGGTGAGTATCATACCGAGCGCATCTCCTCAGGCACACATCAAGCAAATAGCTGCTGTGCATATCTCAGTAGTAGTAACCAGTTACCAGTCTCAGTAGTAGTAACCAGTTACCAGTCTCAGTAGTAGTAACCAGGTACCAGTAACTATTGTACCGTTGACTCAACGATCAACCGTCTCTGCCTGAGTCACTATCTGAATTCAGATAGTGACTCAGGCAGAGACGGTTGATCCTTGAGTCAACGGTACAATAGTTACTGGTACCTGGTTACTACTACTGAGACTGGTAACTGGTTACTACTACTGAGACTGGTAACTGGTTACTACTACTGAGACATATGGGTGCCTGGCAAACTTAAATGTGGAAAATTGCATTTATCTGAATGTAACTCATTATGTACATAACAGTAAATGATAACAAAGATAATTATTATTTATCAGAGTTACATAGACAAGTAGGAATTTGGGGCACCTAGGTCACAAAAAATGTCCCCCTTCGATACCTACTACTGTCATATCCACAAGTTGCTCTAGACCTATTAATTACAAATGAAATGTACATACACCAGGAATTCTGGTAAATATATAAATTTGTGGACTGTATATTAAAATTAAAAAATTATTATATACACATTTATATAACAGAAGGAGAATATATCTTAATATCACTCACCAATTTGATTGGAGATTAATGTGTATATACTCAAAAAACCTCACTAACTAAATTTATGAAAACACTGGCCAGAATTATAGCACAAATCTAGATAGCTTATGAGGTTCCTGGAGCTGTCTTGTCCAGTCGTCTGATATCTCAATTTATGCAGGAATGCACATCCAACAATTTCGGCTCCTATTTGAGAGGTGTCAACACAATTTAACCTCTAGAAAAACGAATATTCTTATTTTCACTAACGTTTTCTTGGCTCATTCAAAACACAATGGTGAGTCTCCTCTGCGCATGCGCAGCTTCTTCCCATTTTTTACAACAAATTTTTATTAAATACAGTATGGCCATCTATTTACATATAACTACTGTACTTCTGGAAAATGTATACAGTATTTTCCACATTAATTATAACATTTTAACATCTGAGTAAGGAGTCATTCAAAACACTGTACATAGTGTACGTCAGGCCCATATTGAAGTATGCAGGACCAGTATGGAACCCACACCTGGTCAAACACATCAGAAAATTAGAGAAAGTGCAAAGGTTTACAACAAGATTAGTCCCGGAGCTGAGGGTTATGTCCTACGAGGAGAAATTAAGAGAAATCAACCTGACGACACTGGAGAACAGAAGGGATAGCGCGGACGTGATAATGACATAAAATACTGGGAGGAATTGACAGGGTGGCTAGGGACAGAATGTTTCAGAGTTGGGACACAGCAACAAGTGGTCATAACTGGAAGTTGAAAACTCAGATAAGTCATAGGGATGTTAGGAGGTATTTCTTTGGTCACAGAGTTGTCAGGAAGTGGAACAATCTGGAGAGTGATGTACACCTGGAGAGGGTTTCGGGGGGTCAACGCCCCCGCGGCTCGGTCCGAGACCAGGCCTCGTGGTGGATCAAGGTCCGATCAACCAGGCTGTTACTGCTGGCCGCAAGCAAACTGACGTACGAACCACAGCCCGGCTGGTCAGGTACTGACTTTAGGTGCCTGTCCAGTGCCTTCTTGAAGACACCCAGGATCCAAACATAATTATAAAAAGGGATACGATAAAACTCATGTAGCAGGGAGTGGGCCTAGTAGCGACCAGCAGAGTGGCGGGGCCAGGAGCTGTGAAACGACCCCTGCAACCACAAATAGGTGAGTACACACACACACACACACACATACATAATGTTACAAATATAGAATAACATATAAGGCGACCTTGAGATGGCAGTGTTCCCAGGTAGATCATCAGGCAGGTTCTGAGTAGGTTGAGGGATGGTCTTCAGGTCACCATCTGTGTCCAAGGCTTCCTGCTCAGGTTTCCCCAAGGCAGATGGAAGTTTCACTGTCAGGGGTAAATAACAACCATACTCACATCTCTTTGTCTCACCTAAAGTTTAGTATAGAAAAATACTATTGATATAAAGTATATCACATCCGTAGTGAGCTAATATTATGACTTATCCCTTACAATATACTGTATATGTATAAAAATTATACATAAATTTAGGTCAGTGGAATATTCTCCTCTCCATCATCCTAAAGGAAAAGATAAAATTAAATAAATTCTTAGAAAGGTTATGTAAATTAAGGTACTCAATATTAAAGACATTTTATAAAGGTTAAGGTAGCTTAACTCAAAAATTAATAATTTGACTCGTCTTCACTCACTGTTCATGAGTGAAGACGAGGATGGTTACTGATGTGATTCTAAAACAAAAATAATCTTATTAGAGGTGGACTTTGTGGTGGGTGTAACCTGTTTGTTGAGGGTGTGTTGAAGTGTATGGTGGAGACTTGAGCTTCCAGAGACAGAGTGCGTGATCACCACCTCCCACGGACACCACGTACCGAGAGTCACAGCTCCACCGTACGTTACTCACGTGTTCACTGTGACCCACATAACTCTCACTTTTCGAGTCTGCATTCAGAAGCACCAAATTAAAGTGTAATTTAATATGATGACTGCAATTCCTTTGCGAAAATTATTCATAAACCTTAATATAAATAAATATACATTAAGCCTAACTTGCCGTCTCGGCTGAGTGAAATTCACAGTTGCGAAAATCAACCATCATAAAATTGTTACTTTTCACTGATGTTAACATTATAAACTCTAGGATAAATTAAGGTAAAATTCAGCAGTTCTCTGTTATATTGCGTACATTTTAATAACACTTTTTGTGCAAAAAAACTGTATCACATTAATTCACATATCTACCAGTAACTACTAAGAATTTAAGAGAATTAAGTCTGACCGTTGTGACTATTCCTTTAAAGTACTGTATTTAATGCAAAAAAAAAATAAATAAAGGCCACTCAGCGCTGTATGACCCTTGTGGGTTTAGCGCTTAGTTTTGATGATGATAATAAAAAAAAAAATAATAATAATAATAATAATAATAATAATAATAATAATAATAATAATAATAATCAAGGCCACTTCTTCCTCACCTTTCTTAGCACAAGGGAATCTGAAGAGCCTGAGGAAGCCGTCATCACCTGCAGTGACTATAACACCCAGATCCATGTTAGCATGGCAGGCGTTCACATCTGAGGTGTCTGAATACTTGGGCCAGATACCAGCTACTTGCGCCCCTAGCACACATGTCCATGATGACCACTCCACCTCAGTTATGCTGCTGTCACCAACAACACTCTCCTCTGGCACACAAGCCAAAAATCTACATCAGTCAAGTTTTATTTAATAGATGTGATAAATTAAGTGATGCAGTTTTTTTATTATTAGTCAACTCATCAAGGAAGGTTCCTTGCTATTGGTGAGGGGCTCTTGATCCAACGAATCAGACATGATCTTCCTTTCCTTCGATTGAACCTGATTGCCTCCGATTAGGGTCACATTCAACTAGTTCTTAGACACCTGTTTAACTGAAAAGTAAATAGGGTAACTAAGTGGAAGACATGTAGATAAATGGTTCAGAGAACCGACAAGTTGATAAATTTGACACCTATTCAACACTTGGGTATCTTTATTGTGGAAACGTTTTGCCATCCAGTGGCTTCCTCAGTCCAATTCAGAGAAGAATGGTTGAATATCAGATTGTGGTATTCAGTCCCTCAGGAGTGCAGATCAAGGGACTTCAAACATTCCCGGTAATTTAGATACTTGATTGGAGTGGGAGGCAATCAGATTCGACTCAAGGAAAGGGATGGTAGCTCCAATTCCTCGGATGAAAAGCCCTTCACCGGTGTCAAGGCGCCTCCCATGAAGGCCATCATCTACAGGGCCTGACCCTGGACCAGATCATGTGACCAAAGATCACAAGAACCATCAACAGGTAACCAAGAGATAGGAAGGGTTGTATAGTACGGTATATAAGAAAAGTGGAAATAGGAAAATAGAGGCTGCAGCACTTATATGGTTGATGTGCGCCTCAGGTGATATACTTGATATGATATTCACCCTAAGGTAAGTGAGATTTGCAGCTTTTGCTCCCCCCCCCCAGCCCGTACCCAGTCTAAATTAAATGGTGGTGCAAATTCCCAGAGGTACTTGTAACCCAGCCCAAGTGTTGCAGTGGTGACATCCAGAGGGTGCTGCGACTCGGTTAGTTGCGTCCTCGGTTGACACACTAAGGGACGGGGGTTAACACGGATAAAACGTTGGGTACGTTTCCTTACATCTGCTACCTCTGTTCAACTAGCAGTAAGTAGGTACTTGGGTGATGGTCGACTGTTGTATGTGGCATCCTGGGGGAAAAGATTAATTGATCCCAATGGTAATAAGATCGACAGTCCCAGATGATGTATGGACTTTATTAAGTTAGGTCATCAACCCTTCGAGATAATAATCCCAACAAAATCTTATCTTGTAGCTCAGCCAAAGCCAGGCAGAAATAACTTTCAGGAGTCTGCTGATTTTACGGTATGTGCCATTGACATTGACTCTTCTTGCATGATGGAGTGATGATAGTGACTAATTGGTGTCCATCTTCTGTCTGAAGTTACTGAAATTCAGTTGAAGATCTTTTCGTATTATTAGTTATTGTAGGTATGGTTGAAGTTATTAAGGGCCACCAAAGCATAACCCTTATTGAGGGAGTCCGGGAAAAATATGTTGCCCGAATATGAGTGAGGAATTATAAAGTAAACAAGGTTTTTACCGGAAAGGGAAACGAACGGAAACAATACATTCACAATTAGGTCAAGTGGATTCTTCTTGCCTAAGCCCCACAAGAGCCAACCCCCCCCCCCCCAACTTACCACCTGAGTCAACAACAAAATTTTCATTGCCTAGGAGCTGATATATAGCGCCCTGATTAACTGCTCAGAAGACTGATGACCATAGTCGCTGGGACGTTGTCCGTACCATGCTCTACCTTTTTCTCATACTGTACTTTATAAATAAGTTTTGATTAATGCAACCCTGCCTATCTTTTGATTACCTGTTAATGAAATGGTTCCTGGGGTCGTCGCCCCATGACCCGGTCCAGGACAACGACAATCCTTAACAGTAATTATGATGATTACAAACTTTCAACTTGGAAGATAAGTCTCTCTCGTGCGCCAGAGTTAAGCTGCAAATAGCAGGAATCTGTAGACCAGTCAAGGTGTGTGATGAAGGAAGAGGCTCCCTGCAGCACATGGCACCTCTCATACCCTGGCTCCACCTTGTATATGTCCACCTGTGGCAACCAAGACTATTTTATTTACATTCTCTTCACGTATGGAACGGGGTGCCGTCAGATAGTGACGGGCTATTAGTACAGGTATATTTAAACCATATCAAGTGGTAACTCTTTCCATAACTTTTAAAATTTAGACTTACAAAGTTATCATTAGAAGCAACAGCGAGAAAGGCTCCACACGGTGAGTACTTGAGATCGTGTCGCACTTCTTTGCGGTCACTGATGCGGTGCTCCTCCTTCAGCTGCCTGCACCACCAAAATGATACAGATCAATCTGTCACAGGGTATTCCAACGATACAGTCACATGACGATTCAGACCGTCCAGAGAGCGGTGAAGTCACAGGGTGGTTCAGGCCGTCGAGTCACAGGGTGGTTCAGGCCGTAGAGTCACAAGGTAGTTCAGGCCGTAGTCACAGGGTGGTTCAGGCCGTCCAGTCACAGGGTGGTTTAGGCCGTCGAGTCACATGGTGGTTCAGGCCGTCTAGTCACAGGGTGGTTCAGGCCGTCCAGTCACAGGGTGGTTCAGGCCGTCGAGTCACAGGGTGGTTCAGGCCGTAGAGTCACAAGGTAGTTCAGGCCGTAGTCACAGGGTGGTTCAGGCCGTCCAGTCACAGGGTGGTTTAGGCCGTCGAGTCACATGGTGGTTCAGGCCGTCTAGTCACAGGGTGGTTCAGGCCGTCCAGTCACAGGGTGGTTCAGGCCGTCGAGTCACAGGGTGGTTCAGGCCGTCGAGTCACATGGTGGTTCAGGCCGTCTAAGTCACAGGGTGGTTCAGGCCGTCTAGTCACAGGGTGGTTCAGGCCGTCTAGTCACATGGTGGTTCAGGCCGTCTAGTCACATGGTGGTTCAGGCCGTCGAGTCACAGGGTGGTTCAGGCCGTCGAGTCACATGGTAGTTAGGCCGTCTAGTCACAGGGTGGCTCAGGCCGTCGAGTCACAGGGTGCCTCAGGCCGTCGAGTCACATGGTAGTTAGGCCGTCTAGTCACAGGGTGGTTCAGGCCGTCGAGTCACATGGTGGTTCAGGCCGTCGAGTCACAGGGTGGTTCAGGCCGTCCAGTCACAGGGTGGTTCAGGCCGTCCAGTCAAAGGGTGGTTCAGGCCGTCCAGTCACAGGGTGGTTCAGGCCGTCCAGTCACAGGGTGACTCAGGCCGTCCAGTCACAGGGTGGTTCAGGCCGTCCAGTCACAGGGTGGTTCAGGCCGTCCAGTCACATGGTGGTTCAGGCCGTCCAGTCACATGGTGGTTCAGGCCGTCCAGTCACATGGTGGTTCAGGCCGTCCAGTCACAGGGTGGTTCAGGCCGTCCAGTCACAGGGTGGTTCAGGCCGTCCAGTCACATGGTGGTTCAGGCCGTCCAGTCACATGGTGGCTCAGGCCGTCCAGTCACAGGGTGGTTCAGGCCGTCCAGTCACAGGGTGGTTCAGGCCGTCCAGTCACAGGGTGGCTCAGGCCGTCCAGTCACAGGGTGGTTCAGGCCGTCCAGTCACAGGGTGGTTCAGGCCGTCCAGTCACAGGGTGGTTCAAGCCGTCCAGTCACATGGTGGTTCAGGCCGTCCAGTCACAGGGTGGCTCAGGCCGTCCAGTCACAGGGTGGTTCAGGTCATCCAGTCACAGGGTGGCTCAGGCCGTCCAGTCACAGGGTGGTTCAAGCCGTCGAGTCACAGGGTGGCTCAGGCCGTCCAGTCACAGGGTGGTTCAGGCCGTCCAGTCACAGGGTGGTTCAGGCCATCCAGTCACAGGGTGGCTCAGGCCGTCCAGTCACAGGGTGGCTCAGGCCGTCCAGTCACAGGGTAGCTCAGGCCGTCCAGTCACAGGGTGGCTCAGGCCATCCAGTCACAGGGTGGCTCAGACCGTCCAGTCACAGGGTAGCTCAGGCCGTTCAGTCACAGGGCGGCTCAGGCCGTCCAGTCACAGGGTGGCTCAGGCCATCCAGTCACAGGGTGGTTCAGGCCGTCCAGTCACAGGGTGGCTCAGGCCGTCCAGTCACAGGGTGGCTCAGGCCGTCCAGTCACAGGGTGGCTCAGGCCGTCCAGTCACAGGGTGGCTCAGGCCGTCGAGTCACATGGTAGTTAGGCCGTCTAGTCACAGGGTGGTTCAGGCCGTCGAGTCACATGGTGGTTCAGGCCGTCGAGTCACAGGGTGGTTCAGGCCGTCCAGTCACAGGGTGGTTCAGGCCGTCCAGTCAAAGGGTGGTTCAGGCCGTCCAGTCACAGGGTGGTTCAAGCCGTCGAGTCACAGGGTGGCTCAGGCCGTCCAGTCACAGGGTGGTTCAGGCCGTCCAGTCACAGGGTGGTTCAGGCCATCCAGTCACAGGGTGGCTCAGGCCGTCCAGTCACAGGGTGGCTCAGGCCGTCCAGTCACAGGGTAGCTCAGGCCGTCCAGTCACAGGGTGGCTCAGGCCATCCAGTCACAGGGTGGCTCAGACCGTCCAGTCACAGGGTAGCTCAGGCCGTCCAGTCACAGGGCGGCTCAGGCCGTCCAGTCACAGGGGGTGGCTCAGGCCGTCCAGTCACAGGGTAGCTCAGGCCATCCAGTCACAGGGTGGTTCAGGCCGTCCAGTCACAGGGTAGCTCAGGCCGTCCAGTCACAGGGTGGTTAAGATAAGATAAGATAAGATTTCGTTCGGATTTTTAACCCCGGAGGGTTAGCCACCCAGGATAACCCAAGAAAGTCAGTGCGTCGTCGAGGACTGTCTAATTTATTTCCATTAGGGTCCTTAATCTTGTCCCCCAGGATGCGACCCACACCAGTCGACTAACACCCAGGTACCTATTTGCTGCTAGGTGAACAGGACAACAGGTGTAAGGAAACGTGTCGAAATGTTTCCACCCGCCGGGAATCGAACCCGGACCCTCCGTGTGTGAAGCGGGAGCTTTAGCCACCAGGCCACCGGGCCATCCAGTCACAGGGTGGCTCAGGCCGTCCAGTCACAGGGTGGCTCAGGCCGTCCAGTCACAGGGTGGTTCAGGCCGTCCAGTCACAGGGTGGCTCAGGCCATCCAGTTAGTCGTCAAAAATAAGTTTATTCTGATTAAATTAACAAAAATTTTATAAACTGATACATTTTTTACAGTGGATGCATTAATCACGGGATTATTGTTAAGCTGCATCTGTCTATGTACCTCCGATTTATAACCTAGAACCAGAGATAGTAGGACATGGATGGAGGGTAGGAGGTATTATAGGACTCCACCTGCAGGATAAATATAGGACTCCTCCAATGGAGGAATGAGGACTCATTCCTCCATTGGAAGAAGGAGTATGAAGAGACTCGCTTTTCTTGCAGGGTGCGATAGTATGGAAGGACTCATTCTGCCTGCAGGATAAGTGTGAATCACTTCTTAAGTATGATGAGGTGCATATAGAAGGACTCATTATGACTGCAGAATTAGTATGGAAGGACTAACGTAGAATGCGGAAGGACTCACTCTGCCTGAAAGATGACAAAGGTGCCATGCGTGAGGCCAACAGCTACATGTTGACCATCTGGGCTGAAGGCAGCTGCTCGTACTGCCTTCTCCAATACTGTGGTAGCCAAGGGTCGTCTCTCATCTAATTCCCACAATCTGGTAACATTATTTTCGTCAAATACTGAAAACATAAGTTTTTTTTTTTTTTTTTTGGTAGGTAAGACACATAGGCAACAGTTAGGCAACTTTATTCCGAAACGTTTCGCCTACACAGTAGGCTTCTTCAGTCGAATACAGAAAGTAGTCAGGAACAGTAGAGATGTGAAGACGATGTAATCAGTCCATCACCCTTGAAGTCGTAGAATTTGAGGTTGTCAGTCCCTCGGCCTGGAGAAGTTCAGTTCCATAGTCAGGAACTATGGAACTGAACTTCTCCAGGCCGAGGGACTGACAACCTCAAATTCTACGACTTCAAGGGTGATGGACTGATTACATCGTCTTCACATCTCTACTGTTCCTGCCTACTTTCTGTATTCGACTGAAGAAGCCTACTGTGTAGGCGAAACGTTTCGGAATAAAGTTGCCTAACTGTTGCCTATGTGTCTTACCTACCAACCTGTCGGTACTGTATACCATCATGATATTTTTTTTTTTTTACCAAATTTACCCCACCGATAGAATAATTAAGGGCCCACAACGAATAAATAGATAATCTAAGCTTAAAAATAAATCAAAGGACATTGGGTGAACTCAATGTTCTCGGTCTCAGGCTTATCTCCCAAATCAGACCTTATGGCGTTGAATCTACATGCCAAGAGCTGTTATTTTACTTCAGCTCATTTTAAAGCCGAGGCCAAGCTAAAGCATACTGCCACACTCTAAGGTTCTAACCCATCACAGTTAGTTTAGTTAGATGTGTCGCCTGAGCGGCTAGTTCACTGTGCATCCCACGCTCATCCTGTGAGCGGTAGCCAGAGCAGAATTACGGAAAATTGATATCTAAGTACCACTATTTTCTTTTTACATTTACTTCATATACTTGTTGTACACAGTACATTAATTAAGGAATACAATAAGAATATTTTATTACCACTAAATAAAACATTGGTCATAACTGGGTTATAAGTGTGGAAAATACTGTATATATTTTCCAGAAATACAGTTACATATAAATAGTTGGCCATACTGTATTTAATAAAAATTGTGTTATCGAAAACGGGAAGCTGCGCCTGCGCAGAAGGAGACTCGCTATCTTGGTTTTGAATTTTGTACAAACGTTGGTGTAATGGGAAGAATTTTTCGTTCTCTAGAGGTTAAAATTGTGTTGACACCTCTCAAATAGGAGGCGAAATTGGTGGATGTGTATTCCTGCATAACTTGAGATGTCAGACGACTGGACAAGACAGCTCCAGGAACCTCAGATAAGCTCTCTAGATTTGTGTGTAATTCTGGCCAGCATTATTTTCAGATTTAGTTAGAGTGAGGTTTTCTGAGTATGATACACATTAATCTCCAGTCAAATTGGTGAGTGATATTAAGATATATTTTCCTTCTGTTATGTAATTGTGTATATATATAACCATTTATTATTTTTAATATACAGTCCACAAATTTATATATTTACCAGTATTCCTGGTGTATGTATATTTCATTTAATTAATAGGTCCAGAGCAACTTGTGGTTATGACAGTGGTAGGTATCGAAGGGGGACATTTTTTGCGACCTAGGTGTCCCAAATTCCTACTTGTCTATGTAACATTGATAAATAATAATTATCTTTGTTAATATTTACTGTTATGTACATATTTAGTTACATTCAGATAAATCCAATTTTCCACAATAAGCATTATGATTCACACCCATCCGGGAATAGGAAACTATTCAGAGATAATATAGTACGGGCAATTTAAAGGCATTTAGAACGTAAATTGAAGTGTGTAAACAAAACTGACCTGACTGTGCGGTCGTCTGATGCGGTGACAGCCACAGGCTTAGTGGGATGTGTGGCCAGGCCCCAGGCCTCTCCCAGGCTGTGTCCTTGTACCACACATGTTGCTGCTCCTACCCCGCCCTCAACACTCCCCATCCACACCTCGTTCTTCTCCGTTCCAATTATTAGCTGCCAGATACAATGGATTTGTAAATTATTTTGGGGAACTGTACTAATATCCTAAGTAAATGCCAGTGTCAGGTAGCCTACTAATTGTCTCTATGTATCGCAATGAGGATAATTCGTTAAATAGGCAAGAGTCTCTTCAAGGAGGATGCATCCGATTATTTCCCATTTCTCAGGCGTATGACCATCAGTCACACGGCACGTAAACAAAACCAGTACAGTACTAGAAGAGGTAATCTCTCTCGCTCCATACAAATAATATATATATATATATATATTATATATAAATATATATATAATATATATATATATATATATATATATATATATATATATATATAATAATATATATAATATATAATATATATATATATATATATAATATATATATATATATATATATATATATATATATAATATATATATAATATAATATAAATATATATATATATATAATATATATATATATATATATATATAATATATATATATATATATATATATATATATATATATATATATATGCAAAACAACCACTCTGAAAGAATAGAGAAATTCCAAGCGCTTTCGTGACTACTCACATTATCAAGGAACTATGAAAGTGAGTAGTCACGAAAGCGCTTGAAATTTCTCTATTCTTTCAGAGTGGTTGTTTTGCATATTCTGAAATCACCTGTTTACTGTGATCTTATTGTATATATATATAATATATATATATATATATATATATAGTATATATATATATATATATATATATATATATATATAATATATATATATATATATTTTTTTTTTTTTTTTTTCAACAAGTCGGCCGTCTCCCACCGAGGCAGGGTGACCCAAAACAGAAAGAAAATCCCCGAAAAGAAAAACTTTCATCATCATTCAACACTTTCACCACACTCACACATTATCACTATTTTTGCAGAGGTGCTCAGAACACAACAGTTTAGAAGCATATACGTATAAAGATACACAACATATTCCTCCAAACTGCCAATATCCCAAACTCCTCCTTTAAAGTGCAGGCATTGTACTTCCCATTTCCAGGACTCAAGTCCGACTATATGAAAATAACCGGTTTCACTGAATCCCTTCATTAAATATTACCCTGCTCACACTCCAACAGATCGTCAGGTCCCAAGTACCATTCGTCTCCATTCACTCCTATCTAACATGCTCACGCACGCTTGCTGGAAGTCCAAGCCCCTTGCCCACAAAACCTCCTTTACCCCCTCTCTCCAACCCTTTCGAGGACGACCCCTACCCCTCCTTCCTTCCCCTATAGATTTATATGCTTTCCATGTCATTCTACTTTGATCCATTCTCTCTAAATGACCAAACCACCTCAACAACCCCTCTTCTGCCCTCTGACTAATGCTTTTATTAACTCTACACCTTTTCCTAATTTCCACACTCCGAATTTTCTGCATAATATTTACACCACACATTGCCCTTAAACAGGACATCTCCACTGCCTCCAACCGTCTCCTCGCTGCTGCATTTACCACCCAAGCTTCACACCCATATAAGAGTGTTGGTACTACTATACTTTCATACATTCCCTTCTTTGCCTCCATAGATAACGTTTTTTGACTCCACATATACCTCAACGCACCACTCACCTTTTTTCCCTCATCAATTCTATGATTAACCTCATCCTTCATAAATCCATCCGCCGACACGTCAACTCCCAAGTATCTGAAAACATTCACTTCTTCCATACTCCTCCTCCCCAATTTGATATCCAATTTTTCTTTATCTAAATCATTTGATACCCTCATCACCTTACTCTTTTCTATGTTCGCTTTCAACTTTCTACCTTTACACACACTCCCAAACTCATCCACTAACCTTTGCAATTTTTCTTCAGAATCTCCCATAAGCACAGTATCATCAGCAAAAAGTAACTGTGTCAATTCCCATTTTGAATTTGATTCCCCAAAATTTAATCCCACCCCTCTCCCGAACACCCTAGCATTTACTTCCTTTACAACCCCATCTATAAATATATTAAACAACATTGGTGACATTACACATCCCTGTCTAAGACCTACTTTTACCGGGAAGTATTTTCCCTCTCTTCTACACACCCTAACCTGAGCCTCACTATCCTCATAAAAACTCTTTACAGCATTTAATAACTTACCACCTATTCCATATACTTGCAACATCTGCCACATTGCTCCTCTATCCACTCTATCATATGCCTTTTCTAAATCCATAAATGCAACAAAAACTTCCCTACCTTTATCTAAATACTGTTCACATATATACTTCAATGTAAACACTTGATCTACACATCCCCAACCCACTCTGAAACCTCCTTGCTCATCCGCAATCCTACATTCTGTCTTACCTCTAATTCTTTCAATTATAACCCTACCGTACACTTTTCCTGGTATACTCAGTAAACTTATTCATCTATAATTTTTACAGTCTCTTTTGCCCCCTTTCCCTTTATATAAAGGGACTATACATGCTCTCCGCCAATCCCTAGGTACCTTCCCCTCTTTCATACATTTATTAAACAAAAGTACCAACCACTCCAACACTATATCCCCCCCTGCTTTTAACATTTCTGTCATGATCCCATCAGTTCCAGCTGCTTTACCCCCTTTCATTCTACGTAATGCCTCACGTACCTCCACCACACTTATATTCTGCTCTTCTTCACTCCTAAAAGATGGTATACCTCCCTGGCCAGTGCATGAAATTACTGCCTCTCTTTCTTCCTTAACATTTAAAAGTTCCTCAAAATATTCTCGCCATCTACCTAATACCTCCATCTCCCCATCTACTAACTCTCCTACTCTGTTTTTAACTGACAAATCCATACTTTCCCTAGGCTTTCTTAACTTGTTTAACTCACTCCAAAATTTTTTCTTATTTTCATTAAAATTTCTTGACAGTGCCTCTCCCACTCTATCATCTGCTCTCCTTTTGCACTTGATCACCACTCTCTTTACCTTTCTTTTACTCTCCATATACTCTGCTCTTCTTATAACACTTCTGCTTTGTAAAAACCTCTCATAAGCTACCTTTTTCTCTCTTATCACACCCTTTACTTCATCATTCCACCAATCACTCCTCTTTCCTCCTGCCCCCACCCTCCTATAACCACAAACTTCTGCCCCACATTCTAATACTGCATTTTTAAAACTATTCCAACCCTCTTCAACCCCCCCCCCCCACTACTCATCTTTGCACTAGCCCACCGTTCTGCCAATAGTCGCTTATATCTCACCCGAACTTCCTCCTCCCTTAGTTTATTACACTTTCACCTCCCTCTTACTTGTTGTTGCCACCTTCCTCTTTTCCCATCTACCTCTTACTCTAACTGTAGCTACAACTAAATAATGATCCGATATATCAGTTGCCCCTCTATAAACATGTACATCCTGGAGCCTACCCATCAACCTTTTATCCACCAATACATAATCTAATAAACTACTTTCATTACGTGCTACATCATACCTTGTATATTTATTTATCCTCTTTTTCATAAATATGTATTACTTATTACCAAATCTCTTTCTACACATAGCTCAATTAAAGGCTCCCCATTTACATTTACCCCTGGCACCCCAAATTTACCTACTACTCCCTCCATAACATTTTTACCCACTTTAGCATTGAAATCCCCAACCACCATTACTCTCACACTTGATTCAAAACTCCCCACGCATTCACTCAACATTTCCCAAACTCTCTCTCCTCTACACTTCTCTCTTCTCCAGGTGCATACACGCTTATTATAACCCACTTTTCACATCCAATCTTTATTTTACTCCACATAATCCTTGAATTAATACATTTATAGTCCCTCTTTTCCTGCCACAGCTTATCCTTCAACATTATTGCTACTCCTTCTTTAGCTCAAACTCTATTTGAAACACTTGACCTAATCCCATTTATTCCTCTCCATTGAAACTCTCCCACCCCCTTCAGCTTTGTTTCACTTAAAGCCAGGACATCCAGTTTCTTCTCATTCATAACATCCACAATCATCTCTTTATCATTTGCACAACATCCACGCGCATTCAGACTTCCCGCTTTGACAATTTTCTTCTTCTTATTCTTTTTAGTAATCTTTACAGGAAAAGGGGTTACTAGCCCATTGTTCCCGGCATTTTAGTTGACTTTTACAACACGCATGGGTTATGGAGGAAAGATTCTTATTCCACTTCCCCATGGATATAAAAGGAAAAGTAATAAGACCAAGAACTATTAAGATAAAATCAAAGAAAACTCAGATGAGTGTGTATAAATAAATGTGTACATGTATGTTTAGTGTGATCTAAGTGTAAGTAGAAGTAGCAAGACGTACCTGTAATCTTGCATATTTATGAGACAGACAAAAGACATCAGCAATCCTACCATCATGTAAAACAATTATAGGCTCTCGTTTTACACTCACTTGGCAGGACGGTTGCTGTCTACCAGTATATTACAAAAGACAAAATTTTAAAGTATACCCAGGGGTAAATATACCAGTCAGCAACAATGCCGTAACTGTCTGCTGGTCATTCGCTATAAACCACAAAATGTCATTCATGCTGTAAGTATGGATGATAGCTTCACTCACCTTCTCCCTGAAGACAGTGAGGGAATGTATGGGTCCCGCCACGCCATACACTAGGCTCGGAGCTCCTGCAAAGAATCACTCTTATACCAACGTAAATTTGATCTTTGTAACATATACAGAAATACGTGGGTCAGTGTCAACTTTTCACTTTGGTGTAAAATGGGTCTTAAGCCCATGCTAATGCTGGATTTCATAAGTTTGTAATAAACTGGATATATCAGCTTACTGAAAGTAATAAAGATAACACACAGTTGTAGAGCGAGACATATCACGATACAAATAGTTAGATATTTATATGAAGAGGTGTGGGGTTAAAATATAGAGAATCTAACACAAAGTGAGAGTTGTCACAGTTGCTCTTTGCTGATGACACTGCTTTTGGGAGATTCTGAACAGAAGTTGCAGAGGTTGGTGGAGTTTGGTAGGGTATGTACAAGAAAACAATTAAAAGTGAACATAGGACAGAGTAAGGTGATGAGGATAAGAAAAAAAAATAAGTAACGAAAGATTGGATATCAGATTGGAGGGAGAGAGTATAGAGGAGGTGAATGTATTCAGATATTTAGGAGTGGACGTGTCAGCAAATGGGTCTATGAAAGATGAGGTGAATCATAGGACTGACGAAGGGAAAAAGGTGAGTGGTGCACTGAGGAGTCTGTGGAGACAAAGAACTTTCTCCATGGAAGCAGAGGAGAATGTATGAGTATAGTTATACCAACGCTCTTATATGGGTGTGAAGCATGGGTGGTGAATGTTGCAACAAGGAGCAGGCTGGAGACAGTGGAAACGTCATGTCTGAGGGCAGTGTGTGGTGTGAATATAATGCAGAGAATTCGTAGTTTGGAAATTAGGAGGGGGTGCGGGATTACCAAAACTATTATCCAGAGGGCTGAGGAGGGGTTGTTGAAGTGGTTCGAACACGTTGAGAGGATGGAACAAAACAGAATGACTTCGAGTGTATAAATCTATAGCGGAGGGAAAGCGGGATAGAGGTCGGCCTAGGAAAGGTTGGCGGGAGGGGGTAAAGGAGACGTGTAAAGGAGGTAAAGGGGGTAAAGTAGGTGTAAACTCCAGGTAAGTCATAAATCTGTGTAGGTCACTGATCACAAGTAATGGAAGCTCCATCGTACATCTTCTTGAGCTCCAGACAGATCTGCTGTTCTTGCAGCCAGAATTTTTCCCATGTTACAAGAGCAAAGTGAACAGTGACTCACCTGAGACGGTGGAGACTTTGTTGAGCTGCTTGTCAAAGAGGGTGACATTGCCGTCAGTACCTCCAGAGAGCAGTCCTCCAGGGTACACCTCCGTCACCAGTACCCCGCCCTGAGTGCGAGTCAGAGAATGACTAAGTGGGAAAGGCATATACAGGTATGGATATTTCACGGGAACTAGAAGTAGTTGTAAAACATGGGCTACAACTGCCTCTACTAAAGTACTAATAGTACTGCAACTACTTTTGCTATTGCACTGCCAACTGCAATGATGTATATACCAAAACTTTTACTTTTCAATACTGTTTTGATCATGGAAAACCAGACATGGGCATCGCCAGGCTGCCGATAATCATTGCTAGTTGCTCCTTAATTCAATTTTTTCTTAAAAAATCGAATTCACTTGGCATTACAGTGAGACAAAAAAAAATACCATTTTATAAATTGTGAAAACTTTTAAATTTCGTGAAAATAACAAACTGCTTAAGTTTATCTTATGTAATTTTTACTTTACTGATATACTGAAAGTTGCAATTTAAAAATTTCATATTATCCATTAGAGACTTTTTTCCCGGGTAATGCAAAAAAAAAAGGGTGCCGGACTCAGGGTGAACGCCCTTTGTGGCAGTGAAAATTTTTTGCTTCGTTCCAGACATAGAGGTCCCACTGGCAGTACCGTGAAACCCTGGAGTTGGTAGGAAAGACCACAAGTGGTCGCCCTAGATTCTTTCCCAAAATAACCCCGAGTTTCCCGTCAAAACAACAACGCTTACTTCCCACCAGAGCGATTGAACCCAGTATAAATGTAAATAGTCCTTTGCCACTGAAAACTTTTCAGCTTTTAAAATCTCTGCGGCTCAGCCCCTCCCCTTTACGTACCCTGAAATTTTTTTAACTACCTCTCACAGGGGGGTTATGGGGTGCATAATGAAGATGTTAAAACCACCCGAGGTTTTTTCAGGTACATCGTAAGTTTTTTTTTTTTAAATGAATTTATGTTACATAAAGGTAATTATGAAGTTTACCAGACCATTAATTTGTAAATGTTTATTACCACTGTAACTTGCTTAGTTACAAAATTTGGGGCCAGTCCCTCGCCCCATTTTAAATGAGTCCGAACCTTTAGTACTGTCCACAGGATGGGTATAGAGTATAAAAAATTATCTCTCCTAATTTGAAAACATACAACTTTTTAAAATTTTTTTGTATTGTGTAAACAAATTTAGTGCCCGCAGTTTTTTCCACAGGAACTTTTTTCCCCTGGCCCTGTTACAATAAAACCCATATAATATTCAACACCTTTGTGACGAAACTGTCTTTAGAAGAAATAAAAAAGGGGAAACACAACAGCTCTTGTTCCAAATGTAACTATTTACAGAAGGGGGGAACAACAATGTTTCCCCCATTTGCTATAAAAAAGAAGCTTCAGTTCTCTATCCCCTACTGACCTTGATGTTGGTTGTCAATATCCCCTTTGAAACCCTAACTTGAGGCAACTAGAGTTCTATAGGGTGGGGATTTCCCTGCAGTACATTGTTGTTCGTTTCCCAGAACTTGATGTGGTTGTGACCCCCGGTGCCCAAACGGTTTTGCCCCCGGGTTCCCACTCAATTTCCCCCACCTGGAAACAGGTTCAGAATATTGTTTAAAAAAAAATTATTAAACTAGGGTTAACCCAAAGAAACCAACGAGAACCCAAAGATGCAGAAATAACGCAAATTTTAAATGTGTGCTTGAGACCCCCCTCGGCCCCTGAAAAAGGGTTTCGGGTTTGACCGGAAAAAAACTTTTTCCTTTCTGTTATACCTAAATAATAGTTAAAGGTGAACAGGACTAGGTTATCCATAAATCAGACGTAGATAAAAAAAGGGGCGACCTTTCCCGAATGGCGTTTTATGTGCAAGTTGGAGGCCCCTTTTCCCTGCCACCAACAACACTTGTTTATCGTCACGCCTCCCACAGCGCCAGCAGCTCCACACACATTACACCAGAAATTTCAAAAAAAAGTTTTTTTTTTTTTATATTACAAAATTAAAGCGACAATTACAAGTCGAATATGCCAGTCAAAAAAAAAAGTTGTAAGTAATTTCCTTCATAGATGGCAAAAGAGTGAGTCGATAGACTTATTTTTTTTTTCTGCATTTTTCATGGTTGTTTTAAGATTGTAAAAGTACACTATTTAAGCAAAAATACTACTATTAAACAAAATACTACTACTATTCGCAATATCTACTTTACAACTACTCTCATATTACAGCAACTTTAAATCACTACTATTACAACAACTTACTACTATTTCGCAAATACTACTACTATTACAAAACAACTAAATACTATTACAGCAACTACTCACTATTACAATAACAACTCTATAAATTACAGCAACTACTACTACTATTACAATAACAAATACTACTACTTTACAGCAACTACTATCATATTACAATAACAACTTATACATTACAGCAACACTTTACATTAAACAACTACTTAAAATTCAGCAACTACTACTACTATTACAATACTATACTACTATTACAGCAACTACTACACTACTATTTCAAAACTACATACTTTTACAGCAATACTCTACTATTACAATAACAACTACTCCTACTATTACAGCAATTACTACTATATTACAATAACAACTACTACTCTATTTAAACAACTATACTACATTTCAACAACAATACTACTATTTTTCGCAAAATACTACTACTATCAGCAACTACGAAATATTTACAACAACAAACACTATATTACAGCAACTACTATACTATACAAAACAACTCTACTACTATTACAGCAAAAATATACTATACAGCAATATACTACTTTACAACAACTACTACTATATACTATTACAGCAACAAATCTACATTACAGCAACTACTATACTATACAACAACTACTACATTTACAGCAATACTACTATTACAACAACAATATACTACTACTATTAAGCAAAAATATACTACTACTACTATATTACAAAAACTATCTATACTTTACAACAACTACTACTACTAATTTTCAGCAACTACTACTACTATTACAACAACTACTACTACTATTAAGCAATACTATACTACTATTACAAAACTACAACTATTACAACAAATATACACTATTACAACACTAACTACTATACGCAATATATACTATACGCAACTGCTATATTCAGCAACTTACTTTCCCCCCAAAAACAAAAACTTTCTATACAGCATATACTATATTACAACAATACTACTACTATTACAACTACTACTACTATTACAAAAAACTCATACTATTACACAACTACTACTACTATTACAGCAATGTACTACTATTTCAGCAAAAATATCTATATTACAACAACAATCTACTACTATTCAGCAACTACTACTCCTATTACAACAAAAACACTAGTATTCGCAACTACATACTTTAAACAACTACTACTACTATTACAACAACTATACTATTTCAACTATACTCTAATTACAGCAATATATATTTACAGCAACTATACTATATTACAGCAACTACTATCAAACAAATTTTGTACAAAACAAAATTTTGGCCACAAAATAGAGCGAAACACCAACGTCAAAGCCTGGGGTGATTTTTGTCGGAGGATCCACCCTTAAGGGGGCTAACATTGTATCAAACGATTGCTAGAAAAAAAAGACAGGGTGGATAAGGAACCTTTTTAAAATGGGAGGGCCCAAGCCCAGATGACACTTTCAGGGCCCTTGTTTTTACTAGGGTGGAATATTGCTGCACTCTAACGCACCTTTTTTAAGGCAGGGGAAATTGCCGCCTAGAAAATGTACAGAAATTTCACGGCGCGCATCGGAGATAAAAACCCCAATTACTGGGGGCTTGAGGTTTTAAACCCGTTTTTCCCGGAAGCAGGAGGGGGGGATCATGATTATTACCCTGGGAAAAAACCCAGAGGGATAGTACCAAACTTGCACACGAAAATCCTCACTACGAAAGCAAAGACTTGGCAGACGATGCACCATCCCCCCAATGAAAAGCAGGGGTGTCACTAGCACGTTAAGAGACCATAACAATTTTGTGTCAGGGGCCCGAGACTGTTCAACTGCCTCCCAGCACACAAAAGGGGGATTACCAAAGACCCCTGGCAGTCTTCAAGCTGGCACTGGACAGCAACTAAAGTCAGTTCCGATCAGCCGGGCTGTGGCTTTGTCGTTGGTTTGCGTGCAGCCAGCAGCAACAAACCTGGTTGATCAGGCGCTGATTTCCCCAGGAGGCTGGTCACGACCGGGCCCCGCGGGGGCGTGACCCCCGAACTCTTCCGGTTAAACTCCAGGTAACACTACTACTATTACAACAACTACTACTACTACTATTCCAGGCAACTTTCTACTACTACTATACTATTACAACAACTCTTCTCTCTACTTACACTATCTATTTCTATTACAAGCAACTACTTCTACTATTAAAAACACTACTACTACTATTACGCAAAACTACTATACTATTTACAACAATTTTATACTATTCAACAATACTTCTATTACAACAACTACTACTACTATTACAGCAATATACTACTATTTTACAGCATATGTATACTATTACAGCAAACTATATACTATTTACAAAACTATACTACTATTACAGCAATTTTACTCCTATACAACAACTACTACTACTATTTACGCAACTACTACTACTATTTCAACAAACTACTACTATTACAACAACTACTATACTATTACAACAACTATACTTCTATTACAATAAAATAATACTATTAGTCGCATACATACTACTACTATTTCAAAAATACTCTTCTATTTCAAACAACTACTACTCTATTAAGCAAAAACCCATACTATTACAACGCTATATACTTTTAAAACCTACTTCTACTTTATTCAACAACTATACATATTACAAAAATCTTTATATTACAGCAATTAATTATTTACAAAAACTATACTATATTACAACAACTACTATCTATTACAACAACTCCCTAATATTAAAGCAAACTACTAACCCATTAAACACTACTACTTTTTACAACAACTATACTACTATTTCAAAAACTTTAAAAACTATACAACAACTACTATATACATTACAGCAACTACACTAATTTATTACAAAAATCACTTATTACAAAATACTACTTTAAAAAAATTTTTTTTTTATATTTTTCCAAATATTTTAAATTTTTTTTTTATTAAATTTAGAATTTACTAAATTTTTTTTAAAACCCAAAAATATAAAAACCTTATCATTCCAAATTAAAAATTTTTAAAAATTATTCTACTTTTGTACGGAAAAAACTATACTGGTTTCAAACAATTCTTATATTTTGGGGAATTAATTTATATACCTTTATTTCCAAAACCTATTTTCTTCTTTTTCAGAATCTTATTTTCAAACCTTAACTCTTTATTAAGGAAAAATTAAAACAAATTTTTAAGTATACTCATTTTAACTATAACTTTCTATATTTGGGGGCTCTTTTATATTGGGCAAATAACCCTTTTTTCAAGGGGGGTTTTTTCTTTCATTCTGAATTTTAAAATATTTTTTTCAACAACTTACTTTTATTCAATTTTCTCTTTTAATTTTCAGTTTTCTTCTATTTTTATATTCAGGCAACTTTTCTACTTTCTTTTTCCAAATTCTTCTTAATCGTAATTACTACACTTTAAAATTTCTCTTCTTATTCAGAACTATCAACCCTAATTTTTTTTCCCCATTTCTTATTGTTCAAAATACTTTTTCCCCAATTACTCTTTCAAAAACTTTATTAAAAAATCTTCTGCTTTGAAACTTCTAAACCAAAATATATTTCGAATTTTCTTCTTTTTCAATTTTTAACTACTTTCTCTTTCGCCTATTCAAACCCAAATCTCTTCATTTCTTTTTAAAAACTCTTTTGAACTCTCCAACCAAAAATCTTTTAAAGGGAAATTTGCATCTTCAATTAACAACTATTTAAAACCTTTATTTCTATACAACTACTACTTACTATTACAACAACTACTTCAACCAAAAATCTCTATTTTTGGGGCAACCCACTTTTTCCCCTATTATTTTATTTTTTTCAACTTTTTTTTACATTTCCTACTTATACTATTAAACAAAATACTACTATACTATTACAGCAAAATATACTAATTTTAAATACTACTTTTATTTTTGCATTTCTTACTATTAAAACAAATATACTAATTTACAGCAAACTTTTAATAACTACCAAATACTCCCTTTTTTAAACAAAATACAACAACTAAATACTACTATTAAAACAGTAAAACTTTAAACAAATAGTACTATTATTACAACTTATACCCAAAAACAACTACACTACTATTTTTTAAAAATAATACTATATTACAAATATCCCATTACCCAAAAACTAATACTACTATTAAACACCAAATCCCACTTTCAACAACTACTACAACTTTCTATTACAACAATACTTTCTATTACAAACCCACCAAAAACTAAAACCCATAAAAACTACTACTACTATTACAATACTACTCAAAACAAAATTTTATTAAATATACTACAACCCACTCCTTTTACATAAATTTCTACTACTATTACAATTAAAAACTAACTACTATTGCAAAAAACTTTTACTACTCCCATAAAAGCTATTTCTACTATTAAAACACTATACAATAACCCTACTACTATTCAAAATTCTACTACCCAAACCTCTACTACAAATTCCCAAATACTACTACAAATATACTATTTTCAACTACTACTACAAATACAATACTACTATTAAACTACACTCCCAAAAACTACTTTTTTCCCAATCCCACTACAAATATACAAAATTTCAACAATTACAAATACTACTACTATTGCAAAAAAACTATACTACTTTAAAAAACTTAAAAACTAATTACAACTACTACTACAAACTACTACCTTAAATTTCCCCCAATATACTACTACCAAAAAACTAATACTATTACAAAAAAACTACTACTATTACAACAACTATACTATTACAAAAACTGTACTACTATTACAATACCAAATACTATACAACAAACTATTACTATTACAAAATACTACTACAAAAAAACTATACTATTCCCAAAAACTACTTCTTTCAACTACCTATTAAACAACTAAAAACAAAACAATAATAAAAATAATAATTAAATTACCCGTAATAAAAATTTAATTTGGAAACCCCCCCCCAAAATTTTATTTAAATGTAAAACTTTAAATTTATTTTTTTCTGTAAAGGGGAAAGGTTTTAAAAAAATCGGGGGGGTCGACAACGAAGTGTGTAAAAAAAATTTACCCTTTGGTTTTCAGTTGAGAAGGCGAGGTTTAACACACGGTGTTGGGAGCCCTTCATGATACTGGAAGGTGTTTCAGGTTGTGGGGGTCCCCCCACGGTATATTTTTGCTTCCTTGCCCCCCTGTCCAGTTGCTGCCGGCTCCTGTCACCCGTCACTGCTTGGTGATCCCACAACATACATATCAGATACTATCACTGGTGTGCCCTGTGGGGAAAATGGGGGCTAAAAATGGTGAAGTTGGTCCCCCCCCGATTGGGAAAAAACCTTTTTTAAATTTTTTGTCTAATTTTTCCCTCCGGTTGTTAAGAAATTTCCAAAACAGTAAAAAAAATTTCATGTTTAAATTTTATTTTTTTTTTTAAACTGAAATCCCCGGGTGTGCCCCCGGGCACGCAATTTTGTTTTCTCGTCCCGAAAAAATCTTGTACTATTTCATTGTTAGGTAATAGGAAGAACCAGTTGACTCATTCAGCAAAACCAGCTCAGTAAAGTTATACAACTGCATAAGATACTTTGGCAAAATTAAACTATTTCGTATTACTAAGTATGAGTCAGGTTGCTACGTTATTTTTGGAGAAAAATTTCAAACTCTCAGATCAAAAACTTGCATAAGTAGTTAGCTATAAGAACATAATAATAAAGAGGCACTAGAGCAGGCCTAGTAGCCCATGCCAGGTACGTCTTGAAACCATTCTCACTCATAAATCTAAATGCTGTACCGTTTCGCTGTCACAATAGCGTAGCTGGAAGAACTCACACATACCGTATATACACCGAGGGGTGTGAGTGGAGAGGTATAGTGATGCCAGGCTACGTGGACCTTCACTGATACTAACAGTATGTAGATAAAGACATGTATGACCAGTTCAAGACTTTTATAGGAGAAAGCGTTGCCCTACAAGTGACTCCAGTTCTAATCTGCTTAGGAATGAAGAAGCAACTTGAGGTGAAACGTTTCCTCTATAAATGTCTTGAATATGTGCCTTTGTAATCTTTTAACTACTGCTCACAGGATGGGTATAGGGTGCATAACAAAACTATTAAAGTAACTAGGCAAAAATCCCCTCACATCTGCCTTACCTACCTGGTGATGTCATTGTTATGACCGGTATAGAAGCTCTGTTTTGTATTGGTAACATCATGGACAACGCCTAGAGCGGCCACGTGGTACACGAGGTGACCATCCTTATTGACCTTAACGTTGTTGCTGGCAGCTTGACCATTGTAGCCGAACACCCAGGCCAGCTCCAGACACCCGTCTGGCAGTTGGCGTGACCCCATCATCAGGAATGACCGTCACGGCACCAGTGGCTGCAACAACATTGTGGTCTGAACAATAAATACCGTGGCTGAAACAATATTGTAACTGGAACAATTAATAACTAATACACAGAACTATGGCTGCAACAATTACCAACATACACATAGCACTGTGGCTGCAACAATTACCAACATACACATAGCGCTGTGGCTGCAACAATTACCAACCTACACATAGCGCTGTGGCTGCAACAATTACCAACCTACACATAGCGCTGTGGCTGCAATAATTACCAACCTACACATAGCGCTGTGGCTGCAACAATTACCAACCTACACATAGCACTGTGGCTGCAACAATTACCAACCTACACATAGCGCTGTGGCTGCAACAATTACCAACCTACACATAGCGCTGTGGCTGCAACAATTACCAACCTACACATAGCGCTGTGGCTGCAATAATTACCAACCTACACATAGCGCTGTGGCTGCAACAATTACCAACCTACACATAGCACTGTGGCTGCAACAATTACCAACATACACATAGCACTGTGGCTGCAACAATTACCAACTAACACACAGGACTATAAAAGCTTTGACAATTGAGGATTAACAATGGCTACAACAATTAACAACTGACAAAACACCGTGACTGGAATAATTCACACTCCACCACACTGACACTAGTTTTAGGTACAACTAAATGCATTTCGGTCACTGCACGATCCGAGAAAGGCATCCCCGTGTTTCACAACCCTAGTCCCTGCACTTCAACGAGGAGAATAATGCAGAGTGCGGCATAAGTTTGTAATGCAGTTAAATATTAGTGTGGAAGATTTTAAGTGAATCAGAAGAGGCATTCATAAGTTATCACAAGGAAACTAACATCCCAAATTCTTGAATAAAAATAAACAAATTAGGACATGTACAGCCCAGCACAAATTCAAACTTTCCACCAGGAAACAAACATTATAACACTAGAAGTGTATTAAGGATCTACAACAGCGTCATATTTCAGTATAATGATACCAGAAGTTTTTAGAAGGTACAGCGGCATCATACTTCAGTATCACAACACTCGAAGTGTATTAAGTAGGTACACCAGCATCATACTTGAGTATCATTACACTAGAAGTGTATTAAGTAGGTACAGCATGTCATACTTCAGTATTGTGGAAAATACTGTATATATTTTCCAGAAATTCAGTATTTATATGTAAATAGATGGCCATACTATATTTAATAATATTTATGTCATAGAAAACGGAAAGCCTGCGTCTGCGCAGAAGGAAACTCGCCATCTTGGTTTTGAATTTTGTACAAACGTTGGTGTAATGAGAAGAATTTTTCGTACTCTAGAGGTTAAAATTGTGTTGACACCTCTCAAATAGGAGGCGAAGTTGGTGGATGTGCATTCCTGCATAACTTGAGATATCAGACGACTGGACAAGACAGCTCCAGGAACCTCAGATAAGCTCTCTAGATTTATGTGTAATTCTGGCCAGCATTATTTTCATAGATTTAGTTAGAGTGAGGTTTTCTGAGTATGATACACATTAATCTCCAGTCAAATTGGTGAGTGAACCCTTCAGAGGGCAAGGCAGACTAAAATGCAGATTTTGAAAGTGATTTCGTATGAGGAGATAGAGCCACTCGATGTAAGGTCACTGAGACCATCCAAACAGAGTTGTGAAAGTAACATCTCGGGCAATTGCAGATATTCGAAGACCGAGTATATTCGGTCCTGCCCGTTTGGGGTATAACAATTTAGAATGTTGCAAGGTTGCAATTGTTGAAAAAAAACGAAATAAATATTTTTTAAATTTATTATAAAAGTAGACAATATAAAAAACATAAATGGAACTTGTTTCTGAACAATTTATAAGCAGTAAAAAAATAGAAGTAGGAACTACTTATCAACAATGACACATTGCAATGAGATACAACTTACAAATGAAATATTCTTGAGTTCCCTGAGAAAGAACAATCCTTTTACATCACTAATTTCTGCAATGAAACTTTATGAAACAATTTCTATCCTTCTTGATGGATAGATTTACTTTGCATGTGGCACAGGAAAATGAAGATGCGACATGATTATTCTTGTTGCTGCAATACTTGCATGTAAGCAAGTATCTTCTTCTTGTTCAATTTCTTCTTTTTGGATGGTGGCATAGCTTCCTTCTCATCTGTTGGCACCTCTGCATCTTGTGGCAAGTATTCATCATCAGTTTCCACCACTTCCAGGTCATCTGGATCTTGATCTGAGTCACTGTCATCCCAAACACAGACAAATTTCGACTTATCCTTGGAGGACTCACCGTAGAACAATTTCTTATTGATCTGGAAGGACAATAAAAACGTTCTGTACACACCCAGACCATTACTGAATTCATATATACACTACCAAATTTTATGGAAATATTTATATACCGAAACTTGAAAACTGCACCTAAAAGGGCAGGAACGACTGTACTTCGTCCTATTTTGTTGCACTTTTTTCATTTGCATTGTGCACTCGTAATATGCTTCACAACGCCTTCATATATATATCAAAATATGGCTAAACTATTCATTTACACACTAGACACACAAATCAGTACTTACCGACATTGTACGGGGTGAAATGCTTCAGTATGTAAGGAGCACTCAACCGAGAAACACGAGTTTTGGCGCCGGCAAGGTAGAAGTGTTTACATTCTGCTCTCACGACCAATGGGAAGCGAGCAGCCGCCATCACCGCTCAGCCTGGGCGACTCAGGGAAGGTCTGTGATTGGTCAGAAATAGAGAATGGGAACCTAGATGCGCTGGGGGAGTTGGAGGACGTGCGCAAAAAACCACGTTATGAGGACCGACTACACTCGGTCCTGCCCGGTAAAGGGTATTAATTAAGATATATTTTCCTTCTGTTATGTAATTGTGTATATATATAACCATTTATTATTTTTAATATACAGTCCACAAATTTATATATTTACCAGCATTCCTGGTGATGTATATTTCATTTAATTAATAGGTCCAGAGCAACTTGTGGTTATGACAGTGGTAGGTATCGAAGGGGGACATTTTTGCGACCTAGGTGTCCCAAATTCCTACTTGTCTATGTAACATTAATAAATAATAATTATCTTTGTTATCATTTACTGTTATGTACATAATTAGTTACATTCAGATAAATGCAATTTTCCACATTTAAATTTGCCCGTTGGTCCTTCTTGAACCGGAGGTAATTAGTGAAGTCATTTATTGGTTAATTACTTAATAATTATATGTGAAATGACAGAAGGAGGTGGATGTTAAATTCACAAATTTATT